TGATGCGACTTATAGAGCGGTGCGATGTGTATGGCGGAAAATACAGTAGTAATTTATTTATTTTAGTATATATATGTGGTGTTTTAAACCCTACCCACACTCTTGCAATATTCTAAATAATGTTTCTAAACTCTACACGCTCTAAAAGAGCACAGCATGTCATGATCTCAGCTCTCTGCCACCTGCCAGCGCTCTCGGCCACGCCCACTTCTCCACTGCAGAGCGGAGTTCATCCCACGCTGCAGGAGGACGTTTCTCCTTCAGCTGTTGGCTGCACACCGGTGCAGCAGGTGCTAAATAATTTAATTTAAATAATAATTCCATGCCGATCGTGTGGCTCATCCATCAATCAGCCAATTGCGCGTCATGCCCAATCTTATTTTGAGACACTGCGATAGAGCGAATCCGCGAAAAACAAACTTCGAAGTAGCGAGGGACTACTGTACACAAAGACTGACAGCTATTTTCACATTTTACAACTCCATTATTTTGCCTTTATCTCAAGCTATTCTATAAATGCAGCTACAAAAGTGTTAACGCAACAAAAACGTCATGCTGCTGAAAAATATGCAAATACTGTAAGCCCTGAAATAAACATTTCTGAATAAAGAGCAGAAAACGTAACTAGAGCTTTTTGTTTGTTTTTGTTGCACGTGTGCCAAAAAAAAGCAGCTCTGCCACGAAAGCACATTGACATCTGCCAAACAATTAAACTCTGTGTGTGCTAGCAGCATGTTACAAGCAGAGGATTAAAAGAGTTGTTTATGAAAATGAGAGTTGAATAAACTATTTAAATAAAAGTACGTTAATTAACCGAAAACCATTGCACATTTTCACGAGCTACTTTAAAAAAACACGAGTACTGTACCAAGACGTTTCGAGGACATCCGTTTAACTGTGGTATCTGTGCTGTGAGGCAGGTCAGCGGGCCCAGTGCACACAGGATGGAGTCCAGAAGGACAGACAGACTCCCAGAGACCGCCACCATCCCCTAACACAGCACATCAGTCTTTGTCTTACACGTTTCCACACAGATCGAAGAAAAAACATGGGCTTTCATTATTATTGATTAGTTATGAGCAAACGCACTCACCTCTGTCTCCTGCAGCCGGTGGCCAATCAGAGACAAGGACTCTCCGAGCAGCTGCAGGTGAGCTGCCGCGTCGATGGGGTCAACATCTGGCACACGAGCCGGGGACAGGGATATGGTGCCAGGAGTTCTGGTTGGTGACACCACCCCTGCTGCTGTTCCTACAACTGTGAGCACAAAACAGTTTAACAAGCCACAGTGTGAAGAGGAAAATAAACTGAGGAAACTGGTTCTAAGAGCTCCAGGAAAACAAAGATACCTTTGCATTTGCCATCGTTGGCGGTCTTGTGCTTTATCGTGGTGGCCTCAGCTTTGTTCTGTTTGTGCTGCAGATACTGAGCTTTCTGCCTCCACACCTGAAAAGACAAACATGTTTAGTACACCATCACAACGGCAAGAACAGCTGTTCAGATTCACAAAGTAGACGAAGCAAAAGCATACCAGTTTGTCCTTCTCTGGCATGGCCTTCCACACCTCTGCCAGCTTCCTGCTCAGCTCCCCAAAATCTGCAGAGGAAACACACACACGTGTTTTACGTCATCACCTTTGTTCATATTTGACAGAACATTATCGTTCTACACATCAACACGTTCCTGACCTAATCCTGGTTGTTCTGCATTTATGTTGACCCTGTACTCTTTACAAAACACCTGATAGGCTGTTGTGGTCTTCCTCTTGGTCTAGAGGAGTATAAAAATATTAATTTAAGACACAAGAAGGACAAAGCTTCCAAAAGAACAAGAGTAAAAACTGAACGGCTCCTTACCTTATCTTTCTCCTTCTCGTGCTTTTCTCTGTCTTTATCCTCCTTCTTCTTCTTCTTCTCTGCTGCTCCATCACTGCTCTGGTGGTGAGGAGCGATGGGCTTGCTCATGGCGTACATCGGACCAACAGCACTGTGAGTGACAGTAGGGTGGGAGTGGCTGTGGCTTCGGGATGAGTCTGGTGAAAATATACAGAAATGAACGTTCCAGGAAAATAAAACGTATCAGTGTTTCCACCACCACCTCAGAGTCAAAACTTTAATATAAAGATTCTTCTTTAAGCTGGTATTTGTGAGCAAAGTTTAAGAACAGCACAAGTCTTAAAGGAATTTGACCCACCAGTCAACTTTAGGGAAAAAACACTACCGTATTTTCAGCCGTACACATCGCACCGCCCTATAAGTCGCACCAGTTCAAACATGTCTAACAAAGTGGAAAAATCTATAAATACAGCGCTTCACTGTATAAGTCGCATCTATTATGCATCATCGCTGATGCGTCGCGTTTGTTACGTGTCACCGCTGACAACCTGAAAATGTGGGTCTGTATGCCTTTTTATAACCGTCTGTTGTTGTCGTTGTTGTCATCATTCTTTGTTGAAGTCATGCCTCGCTTGTAAAAGAGTCCTTGAGGCTCAATGGGATTAACCTGTCTGAATAAAGGTTGAATGAATGAATGAACCCAGAAATGTGGGCCAGTGTGCCAAAAATCGATTGGCTGTCAAATGGCGACCGTGGGAGCGTGCACGGGAGGACTTTTACAAGAATTTAACAAGATTAACACTTAAAAACATTTATTTGTTTGCTCAAAATCATAGTAAAGATGTGTCTCAGTCTAACTTTTCCTTAATAAATGCACTTTGACAGTCACATCATCTGGATTTCAAAAGCCGATACACGGAAGTAAGCGTGTGCACGGGAGGACTCACTGTGCATTTATTCGAAATTTAACAAGATAACCACCTAAAAACATTTATTTGTTTGCTCAAAATCGTAGTAAAGGTGCGTCTCAGTTGATGTTTTCCTTAATAAATGCATGTTGACGGTCACATCATCTGCATTTCAAAAGTATTCGCTGCCTCGGTGCTCCGGAAGCACGTTCTGAGGGAGGAAATCAGAAGGAGGAACGCTGTGCACTTCTTTGAAATTTAACAAGATAAGCACCTAAAACAATTAGTTGTTTGCTCGACTTTATAGTAAATTTGTGTCTCGGTTGAAATTTATTTAATAAATGCAAATCGGCTTCATTTCGCCGGGGTGGCACAGCGAAATGAAGCTGATTTGATGGTTGCTCCAGGTGAGCTGGACTAAGGTGGCAGGCTTTGGCAAGCCAATTGTGTCATTAATAGCCACGTTTGCCTATTACATGAAACAACGGCATGCCATACAACTCTGGTACCATCTAGCTGCTGAAAAATGATAGTGTTCAATATTTTCAGTCAGAATGAATGTATCTCAGACAAAAATTGGTTTATAAATATCAGAAAAAAATCCATCAATATGTCACTTCGGTGTATAAATCATAGGGCACGCAAATTATATCAGGTCTCTCTTGTAAATGAGTCCTCGAGGCTCAATGGGATTAACCTGTCTAAATAAAGGTTGAATGAAAATTATGCAAAAAACTTATAGGCCGAAAAATACAGTAAATAGAAAGCAGCTGCTGTGATCCTTACAATGGTTAAGGACTCATTTATTTGTGCTAAAAAAGTAAATCTGCAAACAGAATGTGTTGAAAACTGGATCTAATTATTATCCTCCATGATTTTCCTAAATGATTCAGAATTATTTTGAGCCTGAAAAGAAGAGTTTAAAAACATTTTACATGAGGAATTCTTGAGGATCTTCAGGTGTTTTAAAGCAGGGTTCTGCAAAAAGTTTATGAACATTTATCTTACCTGCTGTAGATAGCAGTTTGAGTGATCGTCGTTTGGGGAACGTTGAATCCTGACTGTAACGAGCTGAATTAGCTGAAGGCTAATTCAAACACGTGCAAAAACTCACGGAATTCAATAAAAATAACCGTGTAATGCAAAATTCATGGGGATGTGAAGGGTTTTACAAACTCTTATGAATTTTTTTATGAAGTTGTTTAAGATGGTAGCAGTCCAGTTTGCGCCTAGTCATGCTCAGACTAGCCATTAACTCGTCAGTCCAATTAGAGTTAAACTCCATTTCCACATTGAGACAATAAGAGATTAACTGTTCATACATTTTCCACAGAACCCAACTTCAAAGATATGAACCACATCGTGTACGTTGAGACAGTGGCACAGCTGCACTGTGTCCGTTTCTTCAGAACATTGTTTTTAACATCGATGTCTGAGAAAACAGAAAATGTTCCAAGTATTCATCTGGTGCTCAAAGATTACAGATGAACTATCCATTTTGTAACAAAGTAAATAAATAGAAGATTGTAAAACGCCCAAGCCTTTATAAAAAAAACACTAGTACAGTAACTTAAAGCACGTGATTTACTAAAACTTTTTACATGTTAAAAAATAAAAAAACAAGGTAAATAGTAAAAAGATTACTGACAGAGAGAAATCTGTTCTCAGCTTTAACACACCACATGTTCTTGTTAAACAAACAAGAATTACCCTTTAACATAAATTAATTTAAACAAGAGCTCACCACCAAATCCTTTGCTGTGCTTCTTGTCCTTCCCACTTTTATCCTTGTCTCTGTCTTTCTCTTTGTCCTTTTTCTTCTTGCTTTTCTTGCTCTTTTTCTTCTTCTTCGACAAGTGTGTATACGAGTCATCTATAACCAGTTCACCGGCCTCCAGTTCTCCCCCAGATGAAGAGCTGTCATCTCCCATGCCACCTCCATAATGGCCTGCACAGGATGGAAGACAACAAACACAACGTCAAGCATAATGTACAAAATAATATCAGAAATATAAACAAAGTGTATTCAATGCACTAACAAATTTTACATCCTGGTTTTTTTTTTACCTTCTACCTCCACCTCCTTCCCGACCACAGGCAGCGGGTCTCTGTTCTGCTGCAGCTTCTTCTTAGGCGACTTCGATGGCTGCATCCTTTCTCTATTTTTCTCTTTCTTCCCACCACTTTTGGACGAGTGCGACGTTAGCGGGAAGCTCTCTGGTTCCTCTTTCTCTGGAGACATGATAAGCTTCATTTTCAGTCCGTCAGCCTCCCGTAAAGTCAGTGGCTCCTCTTTGGGAGCACCGCCGTGAAACAGAGATGACTTTGAGGAAGAGGATGAGTGCTTTTTGAAGGAAGATGACGATGAAGACACGGGGCGTGAGAGTGAGAAAGAATGGCTGCTTTTGCCTACAGCTACGCCGCTGCTGCCGCTTTCACGTTTGCGCTCCTTGGAGGAGTGAGAGGAGAACGTTGGATAGGATGGTTTCTTGTGCAGGTGGGGGCTGGGGTCTGTACCTGTGGCCATAGGGGAAGTGATGGCCTGCAGGAGGCCCATCGCTGTGTCAGTGGAATGTGACGACGAAGGAGAAGAAAGAGGTGAACGGTCGACAGACTTGTGCTTTTTCTTATGGGGAGGTGGACCTGAACCTTCGTGGTCTGATGAAGTCAAAAGAATACAGATAAAGGAAATACACTTTAAATACAACCATTTCACAGAGCACTTTATCTCCCTCAGAATTTCTAACAATAAAACTTCTCACCCATGTAATAGTCATCACCATGCTTCTTCTTCTTTTTGTGCAAGTCTCCGCTCATCATGAAAAACTCTGAATCCTAATATGGATTAAAACAACAGTTTCATTTATACTACTGTCAGTCGCTCACACGTGGCGTTAATGCTCATTTCGACACATAACTTACCTTTGGCCGTTTCTTAGATGACTTTCGGACCTCAGCAGCCATCTCCTCCTCCTCCCGTAACAGATCCTTGTACGACCTCCTCTTTTCTCTCTGAGTACGACCTGCCACAAGGCCTCCGTCTGCCCCTACATCTAAAATATAACATCCACCGGAGGATTCTTGTCAAGGTGTGTATTTCAGTGCTCTATTTATCTAATCAGATATGCAGTTGAGGGGATATAAATTCAGTTTTGTCTCACAGCCCAAGAAATATAAAGTCAAATTAACAATGCCTTCTTTACCCTTATACTCCTCATATGCCATGGTTTCTTCTTTACTTGTCTTGGGATTTGGTGGTCAGCAAGAAAAGTAGGATAGTGCCCTATTAAGTAAACCCCCAAGATAAAAACAATGAAAGTTATTTCCTAATAACACACATAAAAAAAGCATTAAAAGTAATAGAAAACCAAGGCATTACTGCCAATTCACTGTGTAAAAAGATGTCAGATGTTGTCAGGTGTGTCCAACTAGTCTATACCTGGTACTCCCAACAGAATAAATCCTGTAAGTAACTTGAAAGGACTCTAAAATGGAAAAGTGTCGGTACTTGGGGAATCTGGGTTACAATGGTTTGGTCTGTCACCTGCTACCAGTGCAAAAACTTATACCCTAAACACATTCCCGCCTACTTTCGTAAACATACACGAACACACCCCCTATCTTTTGACTTCAATCAAACTCCAGCCTATTCTCTATCACTTCAGGATGTCCTTCCGTGTTTCCGCTCAGCCTTCCGGCTGAGGCGGTTTAGGAAACACCGAGGCTTTGCGGTACCACCAAGGCCGAGGTCGCTATTTGTGGACGAAGCATGGCGATAAACTAACTTTATATTTTTTTAATCTCCTCCCCGTTTATGCGTCATTTTAAAAACAGCAAGAAAACGAGACAAAGACAACGCTTTTTACATTTTTAGTACCTCAGTGGAGTCTAGAATTTACGCGGGTCCAGCAGCCATCTTTATTGTCTGCAGACAACAAAACA